AGGTCACAATAAATTCCTCCATTACTACAAATATTTTGTGCATCTCGTATGCCAGAAGAAAATCACTGCACCTCACCACTGGCATGAAACAAGTGACCACATCTACAAGTCTTCAGAAATACTGGTCATTTTAAACACTGGAGGGAGGAACTAACCCACCACACAGAACAAGCTGTACATACTGGAGGAGTGACTTGGTCCATTAAGGTAATAACCTTAAAATAAGGAAAGGCCCATCTTTTCAAGTACTGCAACAGCTGTTTTGTAAATCAAACCAGACTTCTGCTTCACACAGATCACCATCAAAAACAAAGTACTGCATTGGTGATAAAATACTACCTTAGTTCTCAATCATGCTGGGTCAAATGCAGCTATAGGATAATAATTGACTTCTATAAATCTAAGACAAAAGAGGATGTATTGATCTTCACCTCCAGCTTCTTGGCAAAGAAATAACATGTAGCCTGCAGATCTATACTACACATTAAACTCACTGGATACTTTGGGATTTTTTTTATTGTCCCCAGCTCACACAGTGAACACACACAGATTACCAACAGAAGATGCTTGCCTTCACAAAGGAGATCAGAACGTAAGTGAACTGGCATTCTTTTTCAGAATCATTAACATTACCTTACGTATCACAGCCCCACTGACTTCTGCGCAGAAAAACAACCTATACATGTTAGCTCTATAATTAACCTGTTTCAGACCCATGACCTCTTGATAAGCTATTCCCTTGCAGTCTTAATAGGTCTCTTACAAGGTCACAACTAAACTTATTTAGAAGAAGGGCCCTATGCAGTTGATTCCCAAATCTTGCTACATGTTGCAACAGACGAGAAAAAAAAAAACAAACCTGAACTTGGCCAACTAGTCTAGAGAAATTAGACAGAATAAGAGAAGTGCTAAATATAATGGAATTCCACTTGTTAATAATAAACAGATACAGCTCATTTTAAAGTACTACTCAAGAGAATGAACACGGAATAATGATTTTCACATTTTCCTCATTAAATTCCTTTATTTCATTATAAATGCATCAAACTAGAATATTTTGCCAGACATAATTATTTGTAAGTCATACAACCCAATAACACTTGGAATATATAAAATGTTCTCTGCTAAACTTAACAAATCTTACTATTTGGACACACAAGATCATAAAGGATGTTACTTTTAAAAGACCATTTTGCCAGACTGGAAAGAAAAAATATGGGATATATACAAAGTTGCAGCTTTAAAGTCCCTCATTGAGTGATTTCCAGAGATGTGCAAATCTGTTTCATTTTGGCCACCACAGAGTTAATTGTTGCTGTAACAGCACAAGAAATGCTGCTCTATTGGATGGCTGCCAGCACATAAAAATGCGAATCCACAGTAATGGATAAAGCAATTCCAATTGCACTACTTCTTTGCTTATACTTTTTTTAATGGCAAAATATGCTTCTATTCATGAAATTGCTAGAAACTAGCTTACTGCTGTTAATCACCACAAGTATTACTGCTGTAGAAGTAATGTCTATTTTTAATACACAAATATTTTGTGGAAGTAGATCAAAAGTAATGTGATTGCAAAGATTTTTCCAATCTGTATCCCACAGAGTACTTTGAGATTTACACAGATTGCCCAGGACTTGGTAATTCATGTCTTAAATATTATTTGAGATACACTAAACAAAAGAATCATAAGCTTTTAGTCCTATTTTCAACACTAAAACAGAAATCTCAAATTGACTTCACAAACTGTATAATTCATCATCTCAAAGAACTGCATAAGGAAAAAAGTTCAGTGATCCCACAAAAATTATGGAAGAGGGAGACCATCAATGGAACTTAACATGCATCTTTCTGTACCTTCAGTATCTGGCAACACTCAGATGACACTCTTAAAGAAGAATGTGTGGCCACTGGAACACATGTATACCTGATCACTGAAACAATGGGAAGACAATTCATACTCATTTAACAACTGAGTGTGCAGTAGAGGCCAATCTAGAACCAGAGAAGCTTAAGTCTGTTTCTTTAAACCTGACCTGGGACTGCTAACTTCAATTGAGCGATATCGTCTCCACTTGCTGCAAGGGCTAAGGCCAGGAAAATACACAATTGCTATCACTCCCAAGTAGCAAATCAGGAACTTCACAGCAAACGCATGTTTTTAACCCCACCAGAAGTGAAACACAGCTCAAGCCCAAAGTTTATGCAGCAAGATATCTCA